CTGAGKTTTRGAAATTTTCTGAATTGTGTCAATTCAGAAATTTTCGTTTTCATTTACAGTTGTTTGACTGAGGTTTGGAATTTTCTGAGTGTGTCAATTCAGAAATGTTTCTTTTCAATTAAAGTTGTTTTTTTTAATTGTTTTATATAATCTGAATACAGAAATATGCAGAAATTATGATCTTTTTTTTCTCATACTTCAAGTATGTATGAAACATATCAGAATTATGGGATGTCATTTCCAAACTTTTTTTAGAGATTACTAGTGCTAGGCAACTTAAAAAGTATATCAGCAATGATGATGATGTCTTGTATTTAAGGAATTACAAGATCCAAAGTTATCTTGACCTTTGCTATTTCGCGAATAATATGAAAGAGACTTCAAAATACACTCTGTCTTGTGTCCTACTCTAGATCTCTATGTTCCTTTTGGAAAGTTCGGCTTTGTTGACATCAACGTGTTACGGAGTACTTGCTGTAAAAAGAGTCTGTAAAAAGAGTAAGAATTTATAGTCGTAAACGTCTAGCTACAAGCTTTCGGGAGAACCAATTCCTCGAAAAGTGTATTCTCCTACTTTGCTTTCCATTCTTTCTTGTATGTAAGCAGTATAAAATGAAAGTTGTGGGCTGCCGTATACACAGTGTCGAAAGTCAATTAAGTTTTGACAAGCTTTCGCCAGATTCCGGCATCATCAGATCACGAAAATCTAAAACAACAGTAAAACTAGTAAAATTAGCATACGGGGCCGAGAAACTGGCGCGCATAAAAGTTCATTGCGAAATAATAATAGGTCTAAGCAGAAGAAAAGGTCTTTCAATTCAAAATGCAAATTCTACTAGTTTTACTGTTGTTTGAGATTTTCATGACCTGGTGAGGCCGGCAGTAGTGAATGGCCCTCAACTCTCATCTTAAAGTGCACCTTCACGATTTTTTTTAATCCTTAAAATGAAAATTGTGGTTAATGGAAACGTATCTGTGATTCATCAAATTAACAGAGAATGTATTGTTTTGGGGGACGCGGTCAAAATCCCCATACATTCTCTGTAGATTGCACGGCTTCTCATTAATTGAATATTTGTCCAAATGATCTGTAACTTGGAACCTATACTAAAGTCGATAAAGTCTTTTTAGCGATATGGTTAGTTTTTCGATTGGCTCAATATGACAGAAATTACAATTCATTTTATAACATAAAAATGGCTAATAAAACGGTTTGATACATTCAATCGTAGCGGTTTTATTGATTTTTGTGAGAAAAATAGACTTTTATAAGGCATTTAGTCTTTTGCGACCGAACTTATGGCCTAGGATGACGTCACAAGAGTCGCGCCAGTCCCCGCTCGGACAAAAGAATTTGACGCACTTAATTTTGGCTTTATTTTTCCGATTTCGTCCCAACYGTTTRMAAAATRATCACCAAAMTTTCACAGAAAGTCTTACAAGGTTCATAAAAATAGTTTTAGATAATAAAAAAAATCGTGAAGGTGCACTTTAACTCATAATGCTACTGAAGGACAATTTCGTAATTCTTGGGCAGTATAAGTTCGGTTTTTTGTCACAGACTACCATAGAGCCGCGAGGAACGGCACCGTGACGTAATAACACAGGTAATCCGCATTTTGCTAATAGCGCGTGCAGATAACATAACAGTCGGCGCATTCGTTTTCTCTCTCTCTCTCAAGCAATGGTTGGACGGCCTATGCTCAAACCCGATGAAATAGCGACGAGAGGTCCCATAAGGCCTTTCGTCACAAAAAATGACTTGAAATTACGACTGCACCCTCCCCTCCCCTCCCCGTACCAGAGGTTAGGCTTAGGGTCAGTCTTTGGCAATGGGTTTCTGTAACCTGGGGCAACGTTTCCGGATTTCGGGTTAGGGTTAGAATACGATGGAAGGGTTAGGTTTTAGGGTTAGGGTTAGTTATTGGGCTCCAGTTTTAAGTGTTTTTGCGCTATTTATTACGATCGAAACACCTTAAACCGTAGCGACGTAGTAGTCGCAAACCCGTATGACTTAAGTTTTGAAAGCAGAATCTCGTGATCAACCGTATCGAAAGCTTTTTTGAGATCAAGAAAAACTACTGCATTAAGGTTACCGCGATCAATATTATAGGCCCAATTATTGGTAGCCTCAAGCAAAGCTGTTCAGTAGAATGAAACCTACGAACACGATTAAAAGTTTGATAACAATTCGTATTTGATAAGATAATCATAAACTTGTTCATATACGATTCTTTCGAAAACTTTAGCAATAACAGGAATAATTGATATCGGGCGATAGTTATTTAGATCTCTACGTTCTCCTTGCTTAAATGGAATGACTTTAGCGCACTTCCATGATCATCAGGAAAAAAATGTTTCTTTCAATTTAAAACTGTCGATAGGGTCCTGATTTCCCAATTTCCCTAGATTAATTACTAGGATTTTGGATGTTTTCTGCGAATTTTGGCCCTATAGATGCAAAGTGGTCATTAAAAGCTTCACATAGTTTGGTAGAATCGCAAACAGGAGAACTATTCAAAAAGACCTCCTTAACATGAGTTTTGTTTCCTCGAGGTCAATTCATTTATAATACTCCAAGTTTTTTTGACATCTTTTTCACTTTCTTGCAAAGCAGACTTATAGTGGGACGCTTTAGCCGCTTAAAAATGGTTTCATGGCATTAAATTTATTGTAGCCAATTTTGGGAATAACCATATTCCCAGATGGCGTTCATGAAATCATTTTTGAGCGACTGTTTTAAAGATCGTATCTAATGAAGCCTCCCTTGACGTCACTTCATTAAAATTTTCAAATGCCATTAACTCAGAAAATATTCAAACAACTTTTTTTTCTTCGAAACAATGATTAGCATCATATTTGACTTTTGTTAAAAATGATTTTCCGAAAGGGTTCATATGCACTTTAAAATTATCATTGCTACTTAATTATGAGTTTGTTCCAATACAAGTTCTTTATTGATAAATGAGGTAATATGGGAGTAGATAAATGGAGGAAAATGAGCGGACAATATATGAGTGAATGAATGGATGGAAGTGCATTTAAGTTTTGGCAAATAGATGGTAGACAATGTATGAATGGGTTAAGGAAGGAATGGATAGAAATAAGTAAAAACATAAGCAAATTTAGATGAGAAATAGAAGAAAATATAAGAAATAGACGGAAGAAAAGTATCGAGAAAAAACTGCAATATAACGTTTGCGGGACGAGCTCCGTACTTACTAAAAGGCGCAATGAGCTACAATGACCTACAATGAACTACAATAAACTACTATGACTTTGTAGCTCTCCAGTCTTATAATTTTAAGAGAGCGATAATAGGGCAGGCATGGTGAATTACAGGGGGGGGGGGACTTCAGATAGCGATTGTAGGGGGGTGCAGTTTGGCTTGTCTTTAGACTTTCAAATCAGTTGATAGTGTTACGGACGAACTTGATTACATAGTGGTTACCTGTCTTATAGACGGAGTAACCACAAAAATGTCCGTAAAACCTTGGAAGTGGGTTTGATTATAATAATTTTCATATCATATCTTTACATTATTCTATTACCGCAACCTTAMYATCTATWTCDCCCCGACCTGCTCCCAGTCTGGCCTTGTAGCTCAGCTGGTAGAGCATCGGTGTACAAATCCGAAGGTCGTGGGTTCGAATCCCAGCGAGGTCGGAAATTAATTTTTCCGAATTTATTCCTAAGGGACTTCTCCCGGAATTGCCTCCTTCTAAGCACTATAACTTCTAAGCACTATAACTTTCTTTCATTTCTATATCGTGTTTATCATAGTGCCATGCGGTCTTCATATTCAGTTAATTACGTTTGATTAGATCATCACGTGTACTACAACCTTGAAAATGGCTGCTTAAGCCGAAAGCTCGGTTAAAAAATAAATCAATTTTGCACAGAAGAATCAACAAGTATTAATAATAATACTATTACATAGTATGTATGACAGAAAGAAAGGTAATAATTAGTTAATTGTCTTTTATCACTTCACAAAATTGTGGCTTTGGAATAAAGTTGATAAATGTTACGTCGTCCCAAATAAATTAATTTGTCTCATTGAATGAATCAAATTCTCTATCAAATGATCTGTACCAAAGTGAAGCCAGTCACAGATTTGGATTGATGAACATTCAGAATTGATGGGTCTGGCTTTATATAAAGTAAATCCTGAAAATCAATAAATAACACGAACTCATTGTAAGTTATTCAAATCAATAATTAATCACATTTTCGAATTTAAAGAGAACAAACAAAGCGAAGGGAAACATAATCTCAACGAAACACAATTTCCGGTTGACCTCATCTGAGACTGGGACATCATCAAACGTCCAATCCGAGTCTGAGAAGTAACGTGATCCCAATCTTAGACTGGGACATCATCAAACGTCCAATCCGAGTCTGAGACGTAATTTGATCCCAATCTGAGACTGGGACATCATCAAACGTCCAATCCGAGTCTGAGAAGTAACGTGATCCCAATCT